CCAATGACATGTGCCGTACAATCCTCAAGATATCTCCAATATATTTCTCCCTCATGTTATGGAGGCTTTCTGTTACCTGAGCCTGGGACTTCTCTTTGAAAGCTGACACCACTAGATTTTTAAGCTCCTGCAGCCGCAAAGTGCAGTACTGAATTGTAGCATCATGGCATTGTAACGCCAATCCGACATTCATCATTGGGTCACATATGCGAGAAAACCACTCCTCACATACTTTCTTGTTTGCTCGAAAAAACAATGAACTCTGTCGACTAGCAGGAGGTAAAACAGCAGATCCCTCATATGCGTTATATACATTTTTCTTCAGGGCCTCAACAAAATCCAACAATAACCTCATGGGCAACAAGTGTGCACCAGAAGAACCTATTATACTTAAGCTTCCATCATGCTGTTCACTATCAAGCTGTAGCACATGTGAAATATCCAAAAGCATCCGCTCCAATGCTGCAAAAGTTTGAGTAGGCCCACCAAGGTTAGTCCGTAGGCGAGTAGAAATACAGTATCTGGCTGCCTCATGTATGGCCCACCAAGCACCAGCCAGGTTATTAACAGAGCAAAGTTTTTCTAGAGCATCTTCTTCCACTTTTATATCCAAACATAGATCATCCGCACCTACAATACCAATTTCCTCAAGCTGCCCCAAAATGCTGTCACTTGAGCTCCTACACATATGAATAAGCCGTTGGATCCAAGATGAAAGAGGAACTTTCCATCTTTGTGAAATGTAACTCAAAATGGAAACAAGTTGCTGCGAGTGAAGTTGCTGAGGCAGCTGCTTTAAGGCAAATACTTGCTTCCAGTACAAGTTTGAACCATTGCCTAACAAAAGAGCTTGGGGCCTAGAATTGCTAAATGCTCCAATATCATGTATACCATATGCATACATTGTAGCTAACAAGACATGAGATAGAAGCCTAACATAGGCATTTCTAATGTCAGTATCTGGATCACCAAGCTTTTCTAGAACCACATCACTAACAGAATTAAAGTACAGAGGGTGCATCAACCTTGCTTGCAAAAGCAGCTCCAAAGCTAATGCGACATGTAACCTGACCTTTGGTTCCCTGTCAAATGCAGCCTCTAAAATAGAGAAAATCATATTTCCAAAAAGAGAAACATATCCAAGTTCTTCATAGAAGTTGGCATTCATATCCGCATTCTCACAGATGGAAATGAGATTTTCACAGAATCTTTGGACCCATTCCAGAGCTACTATTTTAACTGCAACAGGAGAAGAAACACGGAGAGCTTTAACAGGAAGTGTGCCACACTCCCTTAGATACTCAACAATAACAGCTGAATAAACATCTCTGAAACTGTTACCATTAAGGACTTGTTCAGCAGCAACATCCACAACAGGTATATTGCCACTTTGATTTCTTATGGAACACTTGCTCAAGAATTTAACCATACTTAACCTATCCAATGTCTTGAGAACATTGACTTGCAATTCCACACAAAACTGAATAGGTAAATCAAAAGGATTCAGCTTCTCAATAAGAAAAGAAACCAAATTTTCTGACCTCTGAAGATACAAGGTGGCAATTTTTGGCTGGACAATCAAACTGTTATGTCCACACAAGGAAACAGAAGTTAACAGAACTTTCAAATCAAATTTTATCAATGCAAATAACTCAAGTTTTGAGTAAGGTCTATAATCTCCCACACTATTAACCTCCTCCCCATAACCTAAATTTTTTCCAAGCATACCCTTCAACAGCACCAGCTCTTTAGTTAACAAAGTCATTGCCTGTTGAACTATTTCATCATTCCCATGTTGAAGCAAGAAGACATATGTAGCTGCAGAACTTCCAGTGACTAAATGATTTGGATGCAAGCGCAGCTTAGATATTGCTGCATCAAAATGAAGAATTTTCTGGACAGATGAGGGGAGGAGGCCAAGCTTTTGTAAAGATAATAATTGAAGGTTAGTTTTTAAGACCCCATGAACTTGAAAGGAAGTGATCTTCCCAGCTCCAACAGACCGACTTGTGCCATCCAGTTCCAAGCTCTGAAATAATATGTCAACAGCAAGTGGATAAAACGTGGAAAACCTTTCTCGTAATATTTCTGCCAATAGGGTCAAGCACTTCCATGAATCCTCAATCCAGTTTGACCATCCAAACTTTTTTCCAACAACAGATAAACATCCCAATAACCGGGGAAGCATTTTGCTTAGAGGGTTACTTATTTGTTCCAGTAAATTCATTTCCAGTAATCCAGATGCAGTAGATTGCAAAACTGTAGAAAAACAAGAAAGCAATGCAAGCAACCTTCTAAACTGTTGTGGGGTTCCATGTGTCTCGTCCTTAAGCAATACATCCATGTCTCCCAAGAACTTGGACAACAATCCCAGAGAGAACTGCAAATTAGCCACCCAATGTTTCTGAAATTGCAAGAAACTATCCATAATAACCCGTCTGTCAGATTCTGCAAGGTCAGGTACCAATGCCCACCCAAGAAGCAGATCAATTATGTCAAGAAAATGCGGTTGGAAGGACAATGAAAACTTCAGCGAGATCAAAGTTAAAACACCTAGAAGCCGATGTAATAAACTCAAGGAGGTTCTCTCATCCTCTAGAAGTTCTTGGCATGCTTTAAGGATTGATAAGGCATATCTTTCAATCCCACCCACATCACCCACACTAAGAAACTCACGTAGACCCTCCAATACCAGTTCCGTGGTCCCATCCCCAGCACTAATATTACTAAGCAGTGGCAAAGCCCAACTAATGAACCCATCCACCAAACTACCAAGCATAACATGGTTTTGCCTTCCACTTGATCCTATAGGGATCGAACACACAACCGCACAAAGAGCACCATATGCAATAGCAGCAGACTGCCTCACTGAGTAAGTCCTGACCACATTTTGGCCACAAATTTCACCAAACTATACATAAAATCTAAATTATAAGAATCATTTTTTCTTTTTTATTTTCATTTTCTGGAAGCATGATCTCAGTACTTATAAAATTCATAATCTAGGGTTCAAAGCATTATTTTCTTAAATTGTAAATTTAACATTTTTTTCTTTGAAGTCAATCATTGCTAATTCATTGAGTAAATTGATACTAAATAATAAGAAAACGAAAGAAAATAAAGAAAAAATAACATTGAAATTGAAAAAAAAAATTAAATGAGAGAGAGAGAGAGAGTTATACTTGTCAGAAAGAAGTTGAGAGAAGCCTTGAGCGAGGAAAGAAGCGGAGTGAGCGACGAGGATAGAGTTAGGAGGGTAAAGAATCGCGCGGTGGAGAGAATTAATAGCGGCAAGACGAGCTGAGTCGCTTTCGTCGGAGCTGGTTGAAACCGAGGAAGTAGTAGTAGTAGTGTGTTGTTGTTGTTGTTGTGGGAGTCGTTGATGAGGAAGAAGAAGTGGCGGTGGCAGTGGTGTCTTTGGGGAGAGCAGCGGCGAGGAGAGCCGCAAGTTGCTGTTGTTGGTGGTGGAGACCTTGCATCATTGTTGTATAGATTTCTATGGCTTCGCATTTCTTGATCTTTCCTCTTCTGCGCTTGTTTGCTCCACCGGATGCGTTTGAATGAATTCCGTTCTGACGTTTTGCCTTTCTTGCTTTTGTTTCTTTATTTATTTGTTTATTTTTTCCTCTACTTGCTTGGGTTTTTTCGTAATTTGAAATTTTATTTCCCTATTTGGAGTACAATTAAATTTTATTTTCAAGCTCCACGTCATCGTTACGATTATATAAAAAGGAGTAATATCCAAATAAATCTTGAAAATTTATTTAAAATGCAAATAAACCCTTAATTTTTATTGAATGAAATTAAAGCTATGAACTTTTATTTTGTTGTTATTAAAACTTTGATAATATAAAATATGCAATTTTTATTTAAGCTTTTAATTTAATTATTAATTTATAAAAAATACTTACTTATATTTATTTCATGAATTAAATGACAAATATTTAAAATAATACTATTTTAAAAATTCTATCAATTAGATATTATGCACCTAATTTTAAGATTTAATGAGTATAATTACAAAAAAAATAAAAGTTCATAATCTTAGTTTCATAAAATAAAAAATCAAAGACTTGTTTGTACTTTGAAAATAAAATTCAAGAGTTTATTTGAATATTAAGCTTATAAAAAATTAAAATTAAATATTGATGTTCACTAACTTATTAATTTTGATCAAAGAATAATTAAAATTTTTAATATTTAATTGCAAAGAGCAAATTAGGAGTTATGGATTTTAGTTCATATTTTTTTCCTAAATAAATAATTCATAAAAGAAAAGCTAGTCAAGCTAGTATCATTTAAATGTTTAAGTGAAAGGGAGAAAAATGTTATCAACATTGAAAAATCTTTAATTAGCTTAAAAAACCAAACATACAATGAGATTAATTCCTAATATTATATGATTTAAGTATTTAACCATAGAGTTTGCTCTTATCAAGTAAAAACAATGTCATGAAAGCTTAACAGAAAAAATCTAGGCACGCAAAAGGAAAATTCTCTAAAATTGAGATGCTGAATTGAAGTTCCCTCAATATTTTTTGTGCTATAACTGTTAAATTTACAAACAACAGAGGTCAAGAAGGAAAAACATGTAATTGAAGAGTGGCACTAAATGCACCCTCATTTTTTCTCATAAAACTCTTTTTTTTTAATTTTTGTAAATAAAATTATTTATTTATCTTTTTATAAGTTTTTAAAATTTTATCATTTTTTGAAAAGTTATAAATATTTTTAAAAATAAATTTTGAAAAGTCGTAAAATTTTTTGAAAACTTTTAATTTATTAAAAATTTATTTTCAAAAAATTATATGATTTTTTAAAAATTTATTTTTATGATTTTTAAGAAATTTATTTTCAAAAATTTGTGAAAAAAAAATAATTTTATTTAAAAATTTTTAAAAAGAAAAGATTTGAATGCATTTAGGAGCACCTGTGGAGTGAAACCCAAAGGGCGAAATTGAAATTTCCCAATAAGCCCTAACCCGCGACAAATATAAAAGGTAGCTATATAAACAAACCCTAAAACCTAAATGATCGAAAAATAAAATTCTTCTCCGTCTTCCCTAACTCGAGACAACTCTGATTATTCGGAACGATGTCATACGACGATGTGGAGATAGAAGACATGCAGTGGAATGAGCAGTTGCAGGCTTACACGTATCCATGCCCGTGCGGCGATCTTTTCCAGATCACAAAAGAAGAGCTAAAACTCGGTGAGGAAATCGCGCGTTGCCCAAGCTGTTCTCTCTACATCACCGTCATATACAACGCCGAGGACTTCGCCGACAACAAATCCAAGAACAACCTCGAGCCTCCAAAGCAGCAAGCCGTCGCCGTTGCTTGAGACTTTTCAGGTCATTAGTGTTTCTCTGTTTTTCTTTTAATTTCGATATCATCAAAATTTCAGGTACTTTCTTTTTCGATTTAGCGATACAAATTCTTTGTGGCTATTATCAATTACGTCATAATTCACGATTTCGTTGATTCCTTAACCTTGTATCTCTTTATTTTGAAAATTAAATTTCTCAGAATATCACTGGTTTCTTTTTTTTCAGCTTTTTTCCCTCTTGTTTCATTTGTTTTGGTTTTTTATTTATATATTTAAATAAATTTAATAAGCTTGCTAATTTCTGTCACTGCAGATGGCAAATAACGCACTGCACGATTGATTGGAAATTGGTAAATGGGTGTTTTGTTTCCTTATGTGATGTGCATTGGCATTGATGAGGGATTTTTTTTTTTTTTTGGGTAATGGACACTGAGATTGATTTTTATCATTTTATGTAGTCATTGTCATGAGGTTTCTTCTTTCTTGTGACAGTAATATATCTGTGCTTGTGTTTAATTTAACATTGTAAACCATATGAACAAATACGTGAATTTGATTTCTTCAATACCAGATGAGATGCTCAAATTTTCATTTATTGTTTTGAATTTGGAGTTACAAAGTTTTCTCATAGCAATCTTAGAAGCATAGATGCATCCTTCAACAAAGTTTTCATGTGTTTAGAGGATCACTATCATATCCGTAACTGTTGTTCATGTGTCAATACAATATTCAAGGAAAACAAAGAATACCAGCAATATAGGTATAAAGAGGGCGAGATTGACTTGCAGGGGATGCAATGGCTGTGGTTTTTAATGTATTAATTTTTACTGTGTGCTGGTTGCTGATTGTTAAAAGGACGCGGTTCTATTGATAAGAATCGTTTACCTCGACATAAAGGTGTTGGATTCGAGTTTAGTAGGTGGTGGCTCATGTTGAATGTACGACTTCCAATCATTGTTTTTAGGCTGTCCATTATGATACAATTTATCTTGATACGAGAGATCAAGTTATTTATCTACTCAAATTTTTTGCAAAAAAAAAAAGACATTTTCATAGATGAAGATTTTTCATAATGGAGCAGCAGAGAAACTGCCCACTTGTTGAATAGTGGTAGTCATCTGAGTAATGAGTTACTGCTATGAGAGGTTGAACTAGTAGCAACTCCGCCAAATCTCCAACTTTTATGAACTTGGAGCCACTAGACGGTCGGTAGTAGAACAATGTTCAAAAAGTTGCAGAATCACTCTCACAAATTATTTTGTCAGAATGTATCCTGTTCATCGTTGATTAATTCTAGATTACCCATTAAGCTTTGACATCAAGGTAAAATTATTCAGAAAACTTGAAAGACCTAGTATAAGCCATGCTGAATCAAAAGAAAGTTCATATTATCAATTTTATTATTATTATTATTATTATTATTTACATTCTCTTTCGGTTATAAATGAAACTTGCAGGTCTAATGAGTAGTTTTTTTCCCAAGCCCAAAGTTTTAGTAAGTTTAAATCAATATGATAATTTAAAATATAATTCGACAATATGATACAAATATGATATAAATATAAAATATAAAATAATATGATTTAAAATTTTAATAATAATTATATACAAGTTTAACAAATTTTAAAAATATATATTTTGATAAAAATTATGATTTATAATTTTTTTATAAAATATAATATAAGTACATAAAGTTTAATATTTTAATGATACAAATCATTGGATTTTTAAGAATACTTACTGCTTTTACGATTTTAACCATTTGATGACTCAAAGTCCAAACAGTCCCGGCTATAGCAGGTAGCAGAGAAGGCCAGCAGGGCCACGGCCCAAGTTTGAAATAACGTAAAACAAGTATACACCACATGGCAAAAGCCCTCGTTCAAAACTCTGCACACTGTCTACACGACAACGGATTCATCCAGAACGTGTAGTTTCCATAACATGAAAGCTCACAAAATCCTCAGCTCTCAAATCCTTAAAAAAAAGAAGCCAAAACCAGTTGTTCTTATTCACCATGGACACTCTCTCTTCTCCGCACTTCTCTCTTCAACCTCGCAACCAATCACGTCTGACCAATCTCAATCTCCATCTCCAAACGCTTGTCAAACATCACAAATATCCCCTGCAGTCATACTTGAATCAGTCCGCTCTTCTCAGTGGCATTTCATCGAACATCAATCACCAAACCTCGACCCATCTCTTATATCAACCGTCCTCTTTAATCTTCACAAAACCCCAGAATTAGCTCTCCAATTCGCGTCTTGCATCGAATTCCACCGACTGGATATCAAAACCCGTTGCCTTGCCATTGCAGTCGCCTCACGTCTCCCATCTCCCAAACCCACTTTACAACTCTTAAAGCAAACCGTTTCTAGTGACATTGCTAGTGTAACAGTCATTTTCGATGAGCTGGCAGTTGCTCGTGAAAGGTTAGGTATTTCAACGACCATTCTTTTTGATTTGTTAATAAGAGCTTGTTGTGAAATGAAGAGGGTGGATGAAGGATTACAGTGCTTTTATATGATGAAAGAAAAGGGTTTAATTCCAAAGATCGAGACTTGTAATGATATTTTAAGCACCTTTTTGAAGTTGAATAGAACTGAGAGTGCTTGGGTTTTGTATGCTGAGATGTTTAAAATGAGGATTAAGTCGAGCATATACACGTTTAATATAATGATAAATGTGTTGTGCAAGGAAGGGAAGCTAAAGAAAGCAAAGGATTTTATTGGGTTCATGGAGAATTTAGGGGTTAAGCCGAATGTTGTTACTTATAATACGATAATTCATGCTTATTGTTCGAGGGGAAGAGTTGAGGGAGCTCGTTTGGTTTTGAATGCGATGAGAAGTAAAGGTATTGGGCCGGATTCTTACACATATAGCTCTCTTATTAGTGGTCTGTGTAAGGAGAAAAGACTTGAGGAGGCATCTGAGATGTTTGAAAAGATGAAAGAAATGGGGTTGGTTCCAAGTGCTGTGACTTATAATACCTTAATTGATGGTTATTGCAATAAGGGGGATTTAGAAAAGGCATTTTGTTATCGGGATGAAATGGTAGAGCGAGGTATATTACCGACTGTCTCAACATACAATTTGTTAGTTCATGCTCTGTTTATCGAATGTAAAATGGGTGAGGCTGATGATTTGGTTAAAGAAATTGGAGAAAGGGGGTTGGTTCCTGATCAGATTACGTATAACATCTTAATTAATGGATACGCCAGGTGTGGAAATGTGAAGAAAGCATTCAGTTTTCATGATGAAATGTTAACCAAGGGGATTCAACCTACACGGGTAACTTATACATCACTTATTTATGTTTTAAGTAAACGGAATAGAATGAAGGAAGCAGATGACCTTTTTGAAAAGATAATGAGTAAGGGCATTACGGTAGATGTTGTAATGTTCAATGTGTTGATTGATGGTCATTGTGCCAATGGCAATATGGAGCGTGCATTTTCATTAATGAAGGAAATGGATAAACTGAATGTTCCTCCTGATGATGTGACTTACAATACTTTGATGCAAGGGCATTGTAGGGAGGGGAGAGTTGAAGAAGCTCGTCAGCTTCTTGATGAGATGAAAAGAAGGGGAATTAAACCTGATCACATTAGTTTCAACACTCTAATTAGTGGGTATAGTAAGAGAGGTGATATGAAGGATGCAATGAGAGTTCGTGATGAGATGTTGAGTATAGGTTTCAATCCCACCCTTCTCACTTATAATGCCCTTATACAAGGTTTTTGCAAAAACTGGGAAGGAGATCTTGCTGAAGATCTCCTAAAGGAGATGATTAGTAAAGGCATTACCCCTGATGACAGCACTTACTTGTCTTTGATTGAGGGTATGGGGAATATTGATCACTCTGTAGAAAGTTGTAACTCTAGTTGATTGGGAGGACAAAGAAAGGTGTGTGGGCATGTTTGTAATTTGTTTGCATGGTTGTTTGTCCAAAAGCAAGCAATTGTATGATGCACTGTGTTCAACAAATTGGAACAACATGTACGGTCAAGATGAATGGAGATGAAGAGTATGGCAGGTTAGTTCTTAAATTCCTTTACGTGGCTTAGTTTACGGCTTTTCAGTGTTTTGTACTTGATTTTAGCCATAGACATGGATGTTCAAACATGTGAATTTTCCCGATATTGAAACCAGTGCATGTCCAAGGTACAAACACATGTTATTGAGGTCTAAGGATTCAATCCTTACTCCCCCTTTACCTCCAATATGTATCAAAAAAGAAAGTCCAAACACATGTTACTTTGGGCATGTACATGATCAATAATTTCTTTTAGGCATATAGCTTCTTATGTAATGTGACTGACTTCCACCTGTCCATTAATTAATATCTTAGCTTAAACACAAAGTGTCCAATGATATAATTGCATCTTTTAACCTGTTGTTTCAGTATTTGTTGCTGCCACTGATGGTAAAATCAGGTAGCCGCAACACTTTATTGGAAGGGTTTTTCACCTTTGAACTGCTCGAATATGGAAAATTTATCTGATAATTCTACTGCCAGCAAATTTGCTTCTCATATGCCAACAGTGATAATTATCTGCTTAGAATTCATTTTTGGCTTACTAACACTTTAGTATTATGTTGTTGGAACATAAACAACCAACGCAGATTTCTATATTACATGGGCCCTTCTTTGACATGGACAATGGCACAATGCAATGGACTTTACTGATGCCAAAACTTTCAGAGCTGGAAATGAAACCAGAAGTCAAGGCAAATTCCCTGCTTACGCAACGTGCTGAATTCTCCAAAGTTGCTTGCCTTCTTAGTTAAATAAAGAGAAAGCATCTAAAAGTCATTTACAGATTTTGTTGGAGTACACTGCAACCGGAGGTTGATTTAATTAACTGTGTAATCTTTTTACTTGATTTTTTTCACAAAATTGATTTGTTTACCCGTTCTCGATGCCCCACTCTAGTCAAGAATAGGAAAGGGTTAAACGTGTGTAGTAAGGGTCAAAACCTGGAAAACTTGAGTCAATATTTGACTTGTAATAGCTAATTGAAGTGATAGTAAATTAGATTGTTATGCAAAATTTGAGATTTTGAAGGGTACTTCCAAATTCCAATATATACATATAACATCTAGTAGCGCATTTTATAGTTGATTTTCAGGGTCTTCCATAGATGCTTGTGCTTTAATGCAAGTTGGGGATTTCGAAATGACTCCAGGCATCATCTCCAAAGGAGGTGGGGGCAATTAAGATATAGGAATGCAACTCTCCACCCTGGTTGAGTACCCCAGTAGGAGTGAAGAGCCTAGGTGATCACCTCCTAAACATCGTTGAGTACTATTAGCTAAATATCTGGTCGTTTGACTCATATTTGCTGCAAGTTGATTGCTTGCAATACTATCACCAACAACTAAAAGTGCATTATGGGAGCTGTCATTTTCTCATGCACAAATTGGTAAACAAGACTTTGTTATGGCCTTAGTTGCTTGGATTAAGCTCTGCTGCACATTCCATAATATGCAGCAGAACGTGAGACAATTCATATTCTAATCAATTCGAAATAAACCTGCATGAGTTTTAAAAGGAACTTGCAAAATTAAAGTTTCTGTGTAGTAGACTTTCCTTATTGCAGGAGATGTGATTTGCTATTACCTTTTTAGTGGAGCTGAATCAATAGAAAATATACATATCCTACATGTCACTAGAATATCTTCCTGGAATATTATCAACCTTTTCTTTTTTTTTTTGTCGTTAATTAACTGCTTTGTAAATGAAGTCCCGTGGAGAAATGCTTTTCTTGGCTGAGTGGAAACATCTTTTTTTATTCATGGTTATTTTATCGGAGACATCTCATTCTCCACTAGTTGGTAATTGAAGGTTGTTCTGTCCCTCAAAATCTTGAATGGCCATGCCCTTTGTACCTTAAATGAAATTAATAATTGGTTTCCATGGTGGTTTTACAGTAAACAATCAACAGCAAAGATGAAATTTGTGTTTGTTAGGTCTTGTGACATTGACGTATTCCAGAGTTGATATGGACCATCATCCTCCGGCATGCAACCCTGATTTTGTGCTCATATAAATTTTGGACATCTTGAAGTGAAGCAGTTAGTGTCTTCTTCACTCATTTACTTTGTGTATACAGTTAATCTTATCTGATGTACCATCCTTCTCTTTAACTTTTGAAAGGCTTCAAATAAATGGCTGTCTTTTCTTCTCATTTTTGTTTGTGGAAACACATGCGATGTGCACTAAAACATTTGAATATGTTATCCCCCTGTGAACTTTTGACACGATATATCTACATTTTCTTCTGGTATTTAAGTTTTGGCTGGGATCAAAACAGATACAAAACCACCATACCCGAAAACAGAAGCTTCCATGGGCACATTTGTAGGACACTTGGTGCCAGGCCTGGCAATTACCGTTCTTGGCCTATGGCACACCATCAACAATATCAGAGCCTATTGTCTCAAAGGCTCTATGAAATTTGCAGTAAGATTTTGGTACCCATTCAGTGGCCCTCTTTCTAAATTCAGACATTTGGAGCTTATTTTTATCTTATCTTTTTCCCTGGTTGCAATTTTCATGCAAGTTTTAGACCTCCCTTTCCTTCGCTTTCCTTTTGAACTTGATAGCTTCGAGCATGCAAGCATATTTCTCCATCTAGCCATCTTTGCAGGTTTCACTCTTTCTGCTGAATTAAGTCAGTCCTCTGAGATTCTAACAGCTGTTCCGGGAATGCTTGTGGCCTCTGTTTTTGGTCAGGAGCTTTTCTTGCTCCATTTCCACTCAGCTGATCATGTTGGACTTGAAGGCCATTACCACTGGCTCTTGCAGCTCATAGTGTTTGTCTCTCTTCTGGCAACTCTAGCAACAATGTTTCTACCAACTAGTTTTTCTTCGGTTCTTCTTCTGTCGATTTCTGTTGCATTCCAGGGTTGTTGGTTTATGAACATGGGATTTATGCTATGGACTCCTGAGTTTGTTCCACAAGGATGTATCATGCAGTTGGCTGAAAGCAGCAGTGACAGTATGCATGGAGCAGTGACTTGTAACTCACATGAAGCAGATGTGAGGGCAAGAGCATTGGCCAACTTGCAATTCAGTTGGATACTCTCTGGAATTTTGATATTCACTGGAATCATCTGCCTGAAATTTGCTGGAAAAAGTACCCCTAGGGCAGCTGAATATGAGCAACTTCAAATCAGAGGCAGCGATGTCCCTATAACCATTGATAGCTTCAAGCAAGCTGATCCTTAGGTGTTAGTATTATTTATTTATGTAACCCGCCATCAATAACAAAGAAATTGGATCACAAAGGCTGAGCTTGAACTTCTCCACTTTTGAGTAAATATAAGAAGCTCTTGTTCAAAATATTTGCAGCAGGATAAGTGTCTGAAATTGGTGGCCAATAAAAAGTGTTTGAAATCTATAAGAATATTGAATCATCTCGACTGATGAGCAGTATCACTGTGTTAGTTTTCTTAACTAGGCACTGAAGTGGGCTTCATTGCATCTAGTTTATAGTTGTGGTGAAGTCTACAAATTAGAAGCTTGTAATTGGTTTTTAAGTGAAAACAGAGTACATCTTTGTGAATTTGATGGAAGAAAATTCCAAAGCAGACGAGGATCGTAAGCTTCCTGTGTTAGCCAAAGCGTTATTTACATTAGGCAGCTCCTATATATGCAAGCTTTAGTTTGTTACTACACCAAGTACAAATTTTATCTCGAATACAAAATGAACTAATAATGAAGAATGTAAATACAACATTTTACTTCTATTTTCTATATTTTTATGAATAAATAAACTGTGAGTAATTGATTTGACAGTCAGTTTAGGCAGAGAGATGCATTCAACAAAAATGAATTGCGAAACAAGGACCATATGCCCCAATATAGAGTGAGCATATGGGACCTGGCATGCAACTATTTCTTTTTCCAGTGCTTCATACCAAATTAGCCATAAAGCATGGAAGGTAACCTCTAACAGTGTAGCTTTAGCAACAGTTATCCCAGGGCTTTCACTCATGTTGATTGCTTTGTCCGAGACTGTCCCCAATTCGAATCGATGAAGCAGCCAAACCAATTGTTAAGTCCAGGACTTGAATTGCAAAAGTGATATCTGGATATGGTGCAATGGTTCTTTTACTTATTCGGTTGCTTGCTATTTTTCAGTTCTTTTGTTAGGCGTGCAAACAGAACAGTTTACCCATTTAGACAATTCCAAAATCATTATTTCACAGCCTAGCCTTCATATCAGAATCATCAGTTACCTCTACGTTTATTGAAATAAGAAAGATTGGGTGTTCCGGATTGAAAATGAATGCTTCCGACATTCAATTTTGTCTTGTCTGAAACCCGCCTAACATTTTTTTTGTTGTCTAAATGGCAATGTTCATGCATGAAAAATTAGAAAGAAAAGTGTCACAAGCTTCCAAGAGTTTTGTAAAATAGCAACCCAAGAGGCTAATGTAGTTGGAAATTGGAAACAATCAAGTTCCACATCAATGAAATACCAAAGCAATAAAAGTACAAATATGCCAAAGAAAAAGTAGAAATATATATATGAAGCAACTAAAGTTTCTTAAATCCTCACTCAGCCTCTTCCAGAGATGCTTCGATACGAAGAAGAACAAATCCCACAGCAACTCCAATGAGAACAAGGCCATTCATGATTGCTGCAATCCTGAATATTTCACCAACTGCACTACAGGTTGAAGAGAGGGCACCACCACCCCTACCTTTCCCCTTTGATGGAGTTTTGAGTGAGCTCACAACATTTGCAAAAGCTTGTTCAATGCACACTGGTTGGCCTAGTGAGACCACATTGTTATGAGCTTTTAGCCCACTAAAAGAACTCAATCCTGTAATGTAATTTACCTTAACGCTAGTTCTCCTCCTGCGATTGCCAACAGTGGCAGCAACCAATGTGGGTGGAGAGAATGTAGCTGAGGCTGTTGCCATTGCTATATTGCTATACAAAGAAGGGAAGGTTTAAAACTTATGAACCAAATGATGAGGAGAATGAAAATGGCCTTAATTTGTATGGGTGACAGACGATGTAAGAGTGGACGGTTGGCAAGCAGATAAGATGGGCATATAGTCTTCCGAGAAGAGATTATGCAGCTTTAAATGCTGGCCAGAAGAAATTTGAGATGTATAGGACGTCAACCAAGACTGGCCACTAATTTTAAACCATAGAAATACGGGCTTGTGAGTAAGATATATCAGCCCAACCCATAGTCTTCCAAATGACAAACCGTGGCCACCAAGCTGATATTGGGCTACTGAGCTAGGCTACTAGGCCATTGGAGTTAGTAGAATTGAAGTTGTGTTAAGTTGGTTAATATTAGGATTATGTCAATGGCTGCTACTAATTGTCAGATTAATTACAATTGCTGAGTCATGATCTATTGAGATATTTAGGAAGAGTGCAACAGCTGCAATCATCATTCCAGAAAACAATACAATTTTTGAATCTTCTTCCTTCTCCCTCTGTCTTTCTTCTTTCTTTCTCTCCTTTCTTCTACCATTCACGGCTGTGCAGGCTTATTGAACTTCTGCATCTGCTCATTCTCTTATATATCCGATCGGCTTGTATCAATTTTCTTCTTCCTTTTCTTCTTCTTCCTCCAGCTCCAGCTAACAATCTTCTCCTTCTTCCCGAAAGTCATCATCATCTTTTTTCTGTTCTTCTTCTTGTTCTTACCGTCTTTCTCCCTCCTCAACTAGAACACTTTCCATTTCCTGCTCCTCCAACACTACATGTGAAACACTCTTCCCACATCCATCTAACCTATTACTTTCACATCGAACACAGACCATCCAACATAACTGAAAACTAAAAAGATTTCCATCCTTTATGGAGTTTCCATCAATGATTTTTTTTCCAACCGTTCTCAAAATACATCTTGTCATCACATTAGTTCATCTCCACATGCCAGCATCGCCCTTTGCAATATCTGAGTGTGGCTGTTGCAGGAACCAATTCATTTGAACGTGCAACAGCAGTGGATGTGTATATTTGACCCACGAAACAAAACTGGTAAAACTTCAACCTTTATTGGATCCACAAGCGAGATGCTTAATGGAACAACCAAGACCCAAAAGACGGTAAATGATGGGTAATTGGGTTCACCAAACAGAACATATCACCATGTTCTTTGAACTGTATGAATGAACCACGTGATCCTCATGTCAATCATTGGAACAACTTCAGTTGTTCCAACCAGGTACATATCAATATTTTATGACAACTTTTTAATTATTTAAGAATAAAAAAGGAAAAGTAGAAACAGAAACCGACCTTTGTTTGTTCATAAAAGTGAGCGACTGAGATGTTGACATTGGATGGGCACCGTAATTTTGAGATGTTTGGTTCAAGACATGCTGGGTCGATTCTCTTTCTTGTCTTTCGGCTTTACAGACCATAAAAGTTATGACGTCAGACTCATATATTATTGTTGGAAATGGATAAACCTGTGGGCCGTGGCTGTATTCTTCATAGTTTATATGTGGATTTTTGGGCCTAACCCAAATTGGTTTACGGACTCAGTTTGATGGAGAAGAAGACCATCATATGGTGGATCTATTATTTGGCTGGGTCAGCTATAGGCTTCAAAATAGAAAGAACAACAAAAGACTAGGCTCAAGGCCAGCCCATCTAAAATTTCCGTGATAGATATGTAAATCTTCATCCAAAAATGAGAAGTAATTGATAATATAACTGAAAAAAGTGCTGTCAATTGATGACAAAATGATGCGGTTTGCCGATTAAGTTAGGGTAGAAGCCCCGTAGGCACGACAATAATAACACATTAAACTTTATATCTTATATTTTGAAATCGGTTGTATAAAAATTAAATAAAAAAATCATATTAAATTATCATTTGAATTTTTTTACGTTATTTATTTTTATTAACAATAATTTTTTCATTTAATTTTTTAACTATCATATTATTTTTTATTACTTATATTTATGTCTTTCATGATTTACCTCTAAATATTTTGATCTCTCATGACCCTCCGATGATGATATCACCTTATACAGGAAAAGATATATTTGTTCCAATTAGTCCCAAGTTAATTCTCTTGTTTTCTCTTTTTTAAAGGAAAAAGTTGTAGAATACTGGGTTGAGTTCTCTATTTCTTTGAAAAAAGCTCATAATTGTAATGATGACTGGTCACACTCCTGAAGTTGATCACATGCACAAAAGAATTCTACAGAGAGAACAGGACAGGAGTAAAGGATGATATATCATCAAGAAAAAAGAAATTTATTAGAACCTTGCCCATAATTCATACCCCTAAAACAGTAAAAGGGCATAAGCAATGCATCCACGTTGACAATCCTATGAAAGCTAGGAAGAAAAACAAAGGTGCTAGATAATTCCACTTCCCCATAATATCGCAGCCAAATATATACAGCGGCCTATAATGGAAAGGGACCTGTTTATTCAGTAGTATGTACGTGTGCTCTAGTCTTCATATTCTGTCTCTTCGTCGTCCTCTTCATTGTTTTCTCCATACCTCCATCCATCCTCTACATTCTCACAGTCTTCCTCAGTTTCTTCACTATCTTCTTCCTCAAATACTTCTTTGACTGGCCTTTGTTTTTAGGGTACAGGCAAAGTGGCAGAAGGACTCGAGCCCTTCTGGCGTGCAATCTTGGCAGGGGGCATCTTCACATTTGGCTTGGCCCTGCTTTGTTGCTTCTGACTTTTGCCATTGACTCGCTTTCCAGCATAAGCATCTTGATCACTGGCTTCATCCATCTCATTGTCAGTATTAGGTGATGCATTGTCGGCATTCTCATCTGACATAAGACCAGGATGCTCTCTCCTTAGATGGAGTTTTAGTTTGTATTCATGTATGTATGCCTTCTCACAACCTTCATAAGGGCAAACATAAGGGCGAGCAGATGAAGCAGAGACATGGACACTCCCAGTAGGCTTAGGAGTTTTAGTTATCTTCTCCGAAGGTGTGGCATATTTTGTCACATCTGGTGTCACGTTCTATCAAATGCAAGGGTGAAATTCAGATTAGATCCAATATCTCACTGTTAATAAGATGTCATATATGTCATGTTCTTAAAAACAGGTTAAGACAGTGACATCACGAACTTTTTCATGGTGCGATGCTATGTGGTTCTTTAGCTTGTACTCATGACTCATGAGCATATCTCTTTCCACAATCAGGGTATGGACAGACATGGTAGTTTTCTTGTGAATGTGTTTTCATGTGTGACCTCAGGTTGAAGTCCAAGGAGAATGCCTGTTATTCTCATATTTAAATCAGTCAGAAAAAATAGAAAGGACAAACATATTAAATATATATGCCCATGCAAATACGAGCAAATAGAGCCTCTAAAGCAAAAACAATAGCTACTGAAAACCTTAGTACCAGACATAATGCAAAACTATGTCTATAAAATCACAAATGTTCCACTTAGAATTTGACCAAGTTCGTCTAGTTAAAATTAAGGTTCATTGATCCCTACATCTCCGGCTATATAAGAGCAGTTCACAAATTCACATCCTATTAGAGAACATACAGGCTCCTAACTCCAAATAAGTTTGCAATACAAACTGCAATTTTCCTAGAAAAATGAAAATCAAATAGCAATTTGATAATGTACTTACACAATTATCAAATCATTGGTCAAAGACAATTTTTATTTTCAGTTTAAGAAAAATGCATAGATACCCAAGTGCATAATAAGGAGGAGGTCACACAGACAACTATATTTGAAAAAATTATTCAGAACCAGAAGACATAGAGACATTAACTAAGACAACAAATGAGATTACAATGGAGTATGACAATTGTAAGAGAATATACCAAAAACAGGTAACAGAACAAGCATGTAAACTAAAAAAATGAGATAGATTTATCACCTTACCACAACCTTCATGTGGGCATATAAAATCTCTTTCTCCAGTGCGAATGAGAAAGTGTCTTTTCAGTTTTGAACTATCCAAAAATTTCTGCAGTATTAACAAAAAGTATATTACATCAACAACCACCAACGAAACACTATATTTATCTTCAAAAAATACCACAATAACAATCACCAATGAAACACTTTCATGGCGAAATCAAGCAATTAATAGTTTCCAAGCAAGCATAAATCAGAACTGCTTCATTATGTTCCAGTAATTCTTAAAGGAATTTCTCATAAAGTAAATCTGAATGTTTCCTTATTCATATCAAAAGTAGGAAGTTTTTGACAAGATACCTTCCCACAACCCTCCCAGTGACAAACATATTATCTCTCTCCATGAATGTGCGAATGCTTTCTCAAAGCACCAGCGTCAATAAAGGTCTTTCCACAGCCTTCATAGCTGCAAAGGAAAAGAACTTCAGTAGTAGGCTCTGGTTCTGGCTCTGGTGCGTGAGGCTCTTTCTCCTTCTCCTTCAATGCCTTCAACGTGTCCTCTAAACAAAACAGTTGGGTGAGGAAGGTTAGGCTGGACAAATCTATAAAGAAGAAAATGACAACAAAAGTGCCCTACAAGATAATCCTTCCACATCAACTCTCTATGGCCTGAAAACAACCCACAGAATCTATTAGTCAATGAATTTAAAAAATCAAACACACAAGACATGGTATCTTTCAAATCTACAATACAATGAAAATACAGGGAATGGAGTCTTAGAAAGAAGGCCAGAAAAGCCATAGTGAAAAGAAGATGGACATATTTCCATCATGAAACAAATAGACTGTCAAAAGAATTGGATTTAATCCCTTATAAGTATACTTCACCATAATGTAAAAGGCAAAACTCCGCTTTTCTCTAAGCAACTTAGTAAGGCATAATGATAAGACCTTCCCAATAATCTCTGCTTCTATTCAAAAGCTACACAAGGTGTAATGCCTTTGTATAGACAATTTATACTTTTCCATTACATAGGAATAAGAATATAGAAACTCACCGTTTACCCACTTAAAAAGCACGCACTTTCCACCCTTTGCTATAACATCTCGAGGTACCCTAACAAAATTTAGGTCAGATCATTGGCATTGCCTATAATAAAAAGCATCACAAGGTGAGAAATTGAGCATTAAATCATGTCAAAAAAAAAGTTCAATTTGTTAAATAATCAGTACCAGAAAGCAAAAAGAGGTTCAATTTACCATTCTTTGAACCATTTAACAGCGGGAGCCTTGGATTTGAGAATGGGGCGTCTCTCGAACAGATTGTGAGCGAACTGCATTTCCATCCGTTGCCTTCACGATTACCTTGTATTGCTGCAATTGATGTTTTACCAACGGAGAAATTTATGGGAAATTTACAATTAGGAATTAAAGTTTAGGGTTATGGTTTAAATTACGTGAGAGAAACAATAGGAAAGAGGGGGAATAGGTTGGGCCTTTGGAGCCAGTGTTTTGCTGATGCTGAGGTATCGACCGGAAATCGGTCTCCGCCTCCGTCTCTGCAGCACCTTCCTCGAAGGGTTTGAACCGGAGTGGACCCGGTCGCCTTCACTCCAACCTTGCCTTGTGGGTTTTATTTTGGGCATATGTCATGGCCCAATTCTTTAATTTAACCTCAATAATAACCCATAATTCGACAATTTAAAATATAATAGGATAAAACGATATAAAAATATAAAAATATATTATAATTTAAAATTTTAATAAATTTATATATAAATTTGGTAAATTTAAAAATATATTTTTATATTTTTTAATATTTTAACATAATTTTTATATAAAATATAATATAAATACATAAATTATTAATATTTTATATTATATAAATACATAAAATGATCATTTTTTTTTCATTTACCGCCGTGGACTTGCAGAAAAGCTGAAAAAGTGAAAAACACAACATTTACAATCAAACAAAAGTTTCCCAGATCAGTGAGGGACAGTGAAAGGGCACGTGACCTGCATGTGCTGTGAATTTGTTGTTAAATCCGTATATAATCATTACCTCAACCGTAAAAAGTATCCTACCTTCTATTTTTCAAAGAATAGATTTTGTTCACCCTCTCTTTGCATTTATTTATACGAATATATATAGTCTTATTACTATATTATTTAAAAAATATATTTGCAATAATTTCCATGGCTTTTCTCTTTCTTTTCAGTCTGAACCCAAAGCTATTTTCCTACTTTTGCTACTTTATGGGGAGAAAAATCAATGTACCCAAATACACAAAAGCATCATTCTCTAAAATTTATTTATTTATTTTTTATTATTTACATTTAACTTTTACTGTCCTCCAAAAGGTTGTAAATCTTTTTTTTTTTTTTTTACTTTTTAGGAAAGTAAAGGTAGTATATATTGATAGAGAGTATTGGAGGTTAAAGGTTGGAAGTAAAATTCGGACAATGATCTGGGCAAATCAGTTTCTGTCTGAAACAACAAAGACAATGTTGTCCACTTTGTGGACAGATTTGTCTAATGAAACCAAGGATAGAATGGGAGTTTTACATTCTAGAACACATCGATGAAGTTCAGATTGTGGAACTCATGGGAGTGTACGTAGCTTTTGTCTGAAGAGCTGTGAGTATATTTTTGTTTGTAAAAACAAAGGCCAAAATTGAAAAAAAAAAAAAGTATAAAATAAAAATTACCGCTTTCAAAAACCTGGAAACCCCACCAAATGGAACTTACAGATTTGCAAATCAACAACAGTAACAGTAATTCTACAGAACCCCACCGTCAGTCTCTCCACGACCACCTCCCTAAAAAACAGTCATCTTCTCCTCACGTTGTGGTCCCTTTCGATGGCATCAGATCTTCAGGTCCTTCTGGCAGCCCTATGGGCTCCATTTCTCAACTTCACCACCGCCATCAGCATCATCTTCTTCATCCTGCTTCTTTGACAACTACTACAACCGCAACGCCGCATCTCTCCTCTTCTTTAGCTTCTTCTGCAACCAACCCACCTCAACTCGCTGACGCCTCTCTGGCTATTGCCACCAGATCTACATCTATCAACATCGATTCCATAAAGAAGAATCAGCCAAACTTGCCAGTTTCAGCTACGACGATCACAGCTAATCCACCAGTGAAACGCTCCACCAAGGACCGCCACACGAAAGTCGATGGTCGAGGCCGCCGTATCAGAATGCCGGCTGCTTGTGCGGCTAGGGTCTTCCAATTGACAAGAGAATTAGGTCACAAATCTGATGGGGAAACAATTGAATGGCTTTTACAACAAGCTGAACCAGTAATAATAGCAACCACTGGAACTGGTACTATACCAGCCAATTTTTCAACTCTAAATGTTTCGTTGAGAAGTAGTGGATCCACGCTTTCAGCTCCACCTTCACAATCCGCTCCTCACTCGCTTCATGGTGCTTTAGCTTTGGCTTCTCATCTTCATCATCACCACCCTTTTGAAGAAGGGTTTGCTGATCATTGCGCTTTGTTGGGTTTTCACAATCAGGAGCAGCAACAACAGCAACAGCATCTTTTAACAGCAGATCAAATAGCTGAAGCATTACCTGGAGGCGGTGGAGATAGTGGAAATTCAAGTGAGAATTATATGAATATGAGGAAGCGTTTCAGAGAGGACTTGTTTAAGGATGATAATCAGCAACAAGGTGAAAGAAGTAGTGGCGGCGGAGGTGAGAGCAGAGACGGATCCCCTATCAAGGCTTTTAAAAGTGGTTTAGGTCAATTGGCTAAACCACAACAAGATGCTGGATCTTCGGGCCTACTTCGACCATCAAATATCCTGTCCGCCGCTGCCATGTGGGCAGTGGCACCAGCTCCTAGCAATGGAGCGGGAAGTACGTTTTGGATGCTGCCCGTGACTGCTGGTGCTGGTAGCCCGTCAGTGGCCACTGGTGCATCCGAGCCCCAGATGTGGCCTTTAGGAACAGCAAGTGCTAATACATTGCAAGCACCATTACATTTTGTACCAAGATTTAATCTTCCAGGTAATGTCGAATACCAAGGTGGTAGAGGGAGTCCTTTGCAACTAGAATCGATGTTAATGCAGCAACAACCTTCTCAGCATCTTGGCTTAGGAATGTCTGAGTCTAATTTGGGGATGTTGGCTGCTCTTAATGCCTATTCTAGAGGTAGTTCGAACATTAATTCGGAGCAAAACAATCCACTGGAACATCATCAACACCAGCCTCAAGGTACAGCTAGTGGAGAGGAAGCCAAATAATTCTCAATGATGGTCAGAGAATTAGATATACAAGTTGGTTAATAGGCTTTTATAATTCCCATATATGTGACAGGTTGATGCCTTTGACCTTTTTTTTCCCTTTAAGAAATACATTCGATTATATAAGAGCAGGGACTAGAGATTGCTGGGTTTGTTTGGGCAGATGTAGTACATGAAGTTTGTGATGAGCTAAGTGCCCGAAACTTTTTAGTGGATTGTCATTGGGATAGAAATTAGGGTTCTAATTAGGTGCCATCGTTAGTTTTGTTTGTGCATTTGGTTTTGATTTTTGAATTTTTCTTGCTAGGTTCGATGTGGAGAAGTTTGACTTTGTAATTTTCAGTTGTGGTCCGAAGAGGACCCGATAGGGAACATGAATGAGAGAGAGAGAGAGAGAGAGAGAGAGTTGTTTGTATAGGAGGGATATTTGTTTGTATTGATTACAGTGTCATTACTATTATTTGCTTTGTTTGTACGAGGAATTTTGAAAAAAAAAAAAAAAGCTCAATTATTTTTGTTTTGAATTATAGTTTGCATGATTTGTTTTCTTGTTCCCTCTCTTACCTTCTTCAAAGAATCTATCTCTTTCAAATTGGCAAAATGCAGAAATGAAAAGAAAGGCTTATCATCATTATATTAAATGGGTGGAGAGCCAGCTTGATGGTATGAACTACTATGAACCTCAACTCCTTGAAACAGTTACTATTTCAAAGAATTGGAGAGAAAAAGAGAGAAGAAAAGCTTTCTTGGGGTAGAGAGATTATCATATTAAACTGTTCCATAGAGAGTCTAAGTAATTTATCCCTTTCCTTCTCAAGTTTCCAGAAAGCATGTCAGTTGAGTTTTTACCTTCCAAGCCATTGCCATTTTTTATGTTCTCTTTCAACTTGCTTGTAATAAAAAGTGTTAATTTTATGTGTTGCATGCTTCATATTTTTTTAAACTAAGCAGCCCCACTTCTCCTGGGTGGCCTGGTCTCCCTGATTTCCAGGAAAAAGCATATTTCACTTGGGTTATACCAAGGTAACTAAAACATCAATACAAATCCAAGAAAAACGGAAATAAATGAATGTTTTTCCAAAAACCACTATTATCATTAATCAATATCTTTACTATATAATTTACTAAATATAGAAGGAAATAAATTCATTTTCTTGGATCTGAGAACCTTTTGCCTTGACTTTGTTTTCTTGGTAACCGAAACCAATTTTTTTTTTTTACTTGTCCACTTCTTTGATTTGACTTTCCCGTTTTCATTGCTTAATCATTTTTCCACACCATGTCAATCCATTTTTCCGACCCCACCCAGTTTTGCTACCCTTTTCCGCAATAAAAACGCCCACAAAGAAAGAATTTCGTTATGTAAATTTGATGTTATAGCCAAAAAATAAAAAGGTTGGGATTTTCGTCGGTGGTAGCGGATTTGATGTATTGAAAATTTGCAATAATGATGTTTCAAGAAAATTACATTCAGCTGCCATTCAAACAAATGCAAAATGCAATAGATAAGCATGTATTTGATTCCTTTCTAAGTTTTTACCAGTCCGCATGGTGAGAATCCACCTAATCAATGTTAGCAGAACAAAGCAAAAGATACACTATGTGTGAACACCTTGCTCATGATTACATTGGTCATATTTCCTGTGTAAACTGGGGATAGCGTTATACAAGGCAAATGCTGAAATCTTTAGTCTCATCTTGAAGCCAAAGGAGAAAAAAAGAGCCACAGAAAATCTCACCTCCAAGTGCCACTGGAAAAAAAATGAATGGTATGGAATAAGCTGGTCATAAAATACAAGTTGAAATCGACGATGTTTCTCCCCAGAAGCTATTTGAGCTTTGTAGGTATAGCAGTGATGACCTAAAGTTTCAATTAAGGTATTCTCAATGAATCCTGCCGCTTAAGTGGGATGCCTTCACCAAAGCCATTGTCTTCTTCATGCTTTAATGATCGCATAGAAAAAGATGTTGTCAAACTTGCACCTGATTATACATAATTCCTCATATGTTTAAAATGCCAAACATAACATGATAAATATTTCTTAAATACATAAAGGCTTCAACAAAGTAAAGTGGAACATGCTTCTTGTGTTATAATCTGAATGGTCAGTATGAATGATATAGAGAACCGATTCACAATTCAAGGTTCATGAGAACATACCATCAACCATATCCTTGGTTTTGTGAAGAAGAAAAGTTCCTGAAAGAATGGTCACAAATCCACACATCTCTGTTATAATCTGAGTTGGATTCTGCCTATCCCAATCCTGATGTCAGAAAATTAAACTTCAATAAGGTAATATCAAGGTCAATCCAAATAAAAAAACTGTGAACTAGAAAGCAGTTATCCAGAAAGCACTCTCAAATTTTTAATTATAAATAAAATAGAGAAGAAGTAAGATAAGGGAAGCAGCTCAAAGGAGTCAGCAGCAAATAAAGCACCAGAAAACCAAATAGAAGTTCAATTTCATATTTTAACATTCACAAACAGGGTTAATATATGAAATCAAACAAGGAAATTGCAACATAGAATTGTAGTTACAAGTTACAACATCTTCAATGACCTAAGATTCCATACTTCTATACATACGGTTCCCTTTCCCTTTGAAAAGCATAGAGTACATATAGGATTAAGCACTTCATTGCATGTTGAAGACAAATTAATTAAGAAAATATTTGAAAAGGGCTTGTGTGGAAGACAGTAGACAGCATCAAGTAAGATCTTTTGAACATTATAATTTAATAGACTTCTAAACCATTTAGATACCATCAATGACTGGAAATTACCTTAAACATGATTACACTAGCCAAAATGGTCAGTGATGTGAACATAACATAGTATATGGGAGAAACAACAGCTGTATTGAAAGTATCAAGAGCCTGCAATTGTGAAGACAAAAAAATTCAGAGGGTGAAAGAGAAGTCTTAAATTAGCAAACATGAGCAACAAAAATCAAGGTAAGGGAACAATGATTCCAGAGTCAGAAAAGCATAAACAGATAAATTTCAACTGATTTGAAGTTTAAATTAATGATTTGGAACACCATAAACAAGAATATCCATAAGCATATAATTTATATCATAAATAAATGTAGTGATCAAGTCAAGTTTATAGACTTCTGCATTTGTTAACTTAGTGGTCCTGGAAAAATGAAACTTTCCAAAATACACTTCCTATATCAAAATTTGAAATGAATTAGAGTTTGTAGCAAGCTGATAAATTTTCATTCTTTATTTCAATTCACATCTTTCTCTTCCCATTCCCAACATTTCTCTCTTGTTTTGTTTCTTTGAATGATCACTAGAAAATTATTAAAAAGAAAACTGCAACTGTAGACATTGAGATAGAGCGAGAGGAAGGGGATACCAAAGGAAGAAAATGCAAAGAAGTTACACCATTACCTTGTTTAAATAATTCATTTGGGTAAGAACACAAGTAACCACAACTAAAGTAAAGGCCCATGTTTGAGGATATACAAGCTGATTCATTCCTGAAAAGGTTAACTTCAATGCAATACCAAGTGCTTTAACACTCATGACCTGTCAAAGGTCACTCTTAGAAATAACAATCTGTGAAAAAAAAATACCACTGAAATGCAAACAGAATTAAGTTACCAACAGCACAGTACTGATGCATACCGAAATGGAACCCACAAGAGAGCAAACTCCAATGTAAACCATAATGTGTGTCTGTCCATATCGTGGAACAAAGTGGAATATAAGAATAAAGACAGCTGTTAAGACCAAGGCTGTGTAAAAGAGAAACCCTGCAAGAAGATCAAAGAGGAACTATGATCATTTTCTTTCTTTGCAATTCAACAATTTAGAGCAGAAAAAATGTTCAGAGCTAAGAACAATATTACTAAGAGAATGCAACCTGGCTCTGTAGCAAGATCCCAAACTTCTGTTACAGATTCAATCTGACGTTCTGGGGGAGCATGCAAAACAATTGTTGTAGAGCCCACAACACACAAAACACAACCAAGAATTCCAAAAGTATGTAGCTTTTCCCTTAAAATGATATGTGCAAGTGCCGCACTGCAAGAAAAATGATGATTAGCAATCAACATTAAAAGGCCAAACCTAAATTTGAGTAACATATTTTCCATGCCTGATAATGATGCTGAGAGCACCAAGAGGAGTGACCAGTATAGCTGGTGCAAATGCATAAGCTGCAAAATTAGCAATTTCCCCCACAACCACTGTTGCAAAGCCAATTACCAATTAGAGTTAACCACTTTTTCTTCTAGAATCATGAACCATAAGCAACTCAAACAACTAACTAAATTTAAAAAGACAGCACAGTTTGACTAGTCCCAAAACACTAAGACGTAAGTTTGGAATGAAACTAAGAAAATTATTTTTCTTTAGATGCAAAATAAAACATCGACAAGATCATCCCATTTTTAATAGCTGCAACATAGCTTGCATAACTTCATCTTTCAGGGAAAATATTTGGAAAAGAAGAAAAAGTGAGAAAAGGCAAATAAACAAAGAGGTTCCCAATAGGAATCCAAAAATCCATAAGATATTGAGTTAATGATCTGAGAGAAATCCATAAAACTTACTTGTTATCATGCCTGCCCACCAAAGTGGCTCAAGCAAGTAAGAATACCCTCCAACTCCTGTGTAAAAACCAATAAAACCAATGTCATTGGGATTGTTTAATGCACAAGAACAATACAAGACTCCTCATAAAGAAAGAAAAAGTGACCAAGTACTAAACGATAGCAAATGCATTCCAAGAGTTCTTTAGATAACTAAGATAAATACAAATATCCCAAATCTAATCATCAGAAAGGAAAGAAAATAAAAATTGTAGTAAAACTTTGATGAATTGCAGTACCTGCCCTGATACCAGAAGCACCAGCTTTCTTCAAGCCCTTTTTCTTAACAATGAAACTTGCCCCAATAAATAAACTGGAAGAAAGCGCTAAAACCAAACCCTTGACATTATCTGAGGACATGCCCTCGCTCCACCTTCGCACAGCCGACATACTCTAACCCTATTTTTAAAAATCTCACAAAACCCTAATTCTGACAGGATAACTCTATTCTAAATCATCACAGCTTTGCCCGATCCTCGATTTGCTCTGAACTCGGACTGAGTTTAAAAACGAGTTCATGGATCTCGAAAGGAATCGTAATTTTGCCCAATTTTGGAGTCGGATTGAAACGCAACCGAGTTACAATAACACAAGTTGACGGATCTTGGCCCCCCGAAAAAAAAAAAGATTTAGACAGATAGCAGCGATCTTGAGTCGAACGATGATATCCAGATAAAGAGCGACATAGAGAGATGTTGGAATAATAATGGAATATTTACAATGGACGTAAGTGAGGAAGAATCTTGACTCAGTTGACGCGGAGTGAGTTTGCCGGCATGAAAGGGAAAGAGAAAAGAGCGCGTGGGCGTTGGCGTTGGCGTGGGGCTTTTACGATAACAAAGACTCCCCTCCGACTATGGTTTCCACGCCCTTTCTATTTCTTCCAACTTGTTCTCCGACCCTCACTTACGATGTAAATGATACCTGGCATGCAATATGGCTTAGTTAGGATAAAATTGGAATTGGATTACATCATTATCAATCGAACTCAACTAATTTAAATTATAAAATGAGTTGAGTTGAAATATTTTAATATTTGATTTGAATAATTTTTTATTTTTATATAATGTTTATTATATATATATAAAAATTTAAAGTTGAAAATAAGAATTAATTTTTTATTTAATTTTTAATTTTAACAAAATAAATTCAAATAATTTAATTATTATTTTAAATTAAACTTAAATTTAAAATTTAATTAAATTCAAATCAAATTTCAAAAAATAAATTTTGAATTGAATTTAAACTCAAAATTATCAATGTATTGATTAATTATACCCTTACCTCCACCCAAACTCTATATCCACATTATTTATTTCATTTTCTTTTTATATTTTCATCTTTAATCCTACTTGATAAATTTTATTTATATTATCAAACAATAAGATTATATTAATGAGTACCTACAACTATTATTTAAAAAAATATTTTACATTTAATATATTGTTTTTATAAAATTTAAAAAATATATTAATTGTTTTTTTTAAACATTATCTTAATTAGTGTTATTATTTCTTTTAGCGAATAATTAGTGTTATTAGGCACCGGTTAATATTTCCAAACAAAAAAATATTTTCTTTGATTATTACAGAAAAGAAATTAATTAATTATTAATTCAATAAATAAACTAAACAAATCAATAAATAATAATTAGATAAATCTAAGTAAAATTAAATAGTGAAACTTGAACATATTTCAAAATTCCAATACTTTTTTTCTAAGTCAAACATTTAACCATAAACATCCTTTTGAACATTTAAAATGAATAAAATACAAAAAAAAATTATCGAATTATTTTACTTTTTAAATAAAATTTTATATTTTGTTGTATTCAATAAGTTTTAATTTTTTATCTATATTAAAATAAAATTTTATTTCAAACTAAATATTGATTTATATTAAAGATTTATTTATGTACAAATTAAATTATTCATTTGAATGTAAATTAAAAATTAAAATTTTATTTGAGTGTAAATTAAAGATTAATAACTTATCCGAATATAATAAAAATATAGAAACTTATCAAATAAAGTAATAAAATTGAAGAATCTTTTTATTATTTTAACGTTTAAAATTTTTATTTTTATAACATGGAGTTGAAGTACCTCATCAATTTATGATGATGCATCAAGCATACCACAAGTATTTAATTTTTACATAACTTGTCAATTTATGATAATTTTTTTTATAAATAAAAATGTGGCTTGAAGATTTAAAAAGTGGTTATAAAAGTTGATTTTGAACACTATTTATGAAATAATAATTGAATTAGATTTTAGATTTTACAGTACATGTTAATTCAGTAAAAAAAAAAAGGATGAATAGTGATTAAATGACAACCTCATTTTGCCACTTTAGAACAGAATCCCTTTAGAAGATTTGCTCTTATTTTTTATTCTTCTTTGGATGGTTATTTTGGGAGATTTCTTTTGTTCCCATCTTAATCTTATTGTTCATTTAGGTGGTGGAAGTTTAGGTCTTGGACTTCAGCATTGAATTTAAGTTTTTTTTTTTTTTTAGTAATCACTTATAATATATATATATATATAATTATTAATAGATTTACTAAATTTATGGTATTAAAGAATTATTTTCTTCTTTTTTTTTTTGAGGTATTTATAAAATAATTTTGAATATGTTTATCGAAAAATTCACTAAAAGTGATCCCTTCGTTATTGAAGGTAATCAAATCACACATCACAATATATGTTATGGACTTGGATTTTTTTTTTTTGAATTTAAAAATATATTCATAAACTTCTTATTATCAAAATCTCGAATGTTACTTATAATAGTTTTGAAAACCTTATTTGTAAATCAAATTTTGTAACCTATTTAGATATAAAAAATTGAAAACATAATGGAAGAATACTTATGAAGAATGGACTTGCCATTATGGCTATGAAAACAATGGAAAACCAACCATAACTATGATGTTTGGTTTTTTATGTATGATGTTTTGTTGTCCTCTCTTTGGTTCTATTTAATTATTATTTTTTTGTTTGGTATGAACCATTTAATTAATTTAGAAAATTTTAAAGCAATACAAATAAAACGGAATTGAATTTATTATTAATTTAATTTTTTTCATATAAATAGCATCACAATAAAAATTATACGTGTTAAAATTTAAATTTAAAACTTATGAAATGATATTTTTAAAATTATTTATATAAATTAATTAAAATAAATTTTATATTTATTATCAATTTAAAATTTTATTTCATTTTATATAATAAAAAAAATAACATTCTTGTTTGAATTTAGTTAAAAAAAATTCAAATAGTTAGATTTAGCCTAATATAAAATAGTGAGATTCAACAATATTATCATAAAGCTAAAATCATTTTCCAAATAAAATAAAATAAATTTTAGATTAAATTTGGATTTTTTATTTTTCACACGAAATAGGATAACGATTAAATTTATGATACTCTTTTAAGACGTTACCGTTTCATACTTTTTAGTTTTTATCTTGCCGATTAGTCTATTTGTAAACGAAGACGGATCTCAAACTTTTCGAGGTTGCGTGTCCTCTCTATCATTGGTCCAGTGCATGGAGCAGAATATCTCTGACTGCATCGAATCAATCCCTTACTTCTCACTGTATCGTATCAACTATCAACCAATGAAAAAAGGGATTTGAGAAACCCAGAAAAAGTCTCCACCGGCGGCGGCGGCTACTTGTTTCTTGGTCGCTCGTCACTGTGTAATTCAGTTGGACTCACTCAGTTTCTTCTTTATTTCACTTCAAAAACCGATAATTAGGGTTTTATTTTGGCCAGCCATAGAAATGTCTCTGTTGCAGCCGTATTTCCAACAATGCCCCACCGCATTCACGCCCGCCGTCTCAGTCCCAGCTCCTTGTTTGTCATTCTACATATCGGTTTCCAAACGCAGCGTCATATCTTGTTGCTCGTCGCAGTCCCAAACGACAGTCATTAATGGCAAACTCGATAGTAGAATCTTTGACAGGGATGAGATTCGTCTTGGCTTGCCAAGCAAAGGTCGCATGGCTGCTGACACTCTCGATCTACTCAAGGTCCTGGTTTAACCCTCTTCATTAATTGGCTTCCTCTGAATTACTTTGTTTTCACGTTCTATATTCTGACCCTTTCGATTCTTCTGTATCTTCTGCAAAAGGATTGTCAATTGTCGATTAAGCAGGTCAATCCTAGGCAGTATGTTGCTAGAATACCTCAGGTTTGTGCCATCTTTCTCTCTCACTATATGCATTGTACCTGTATATAATTTATTTATGGTTGATAATTTGTGTTTTGCCCAGCTTTCCAATCTAGAAGTCTGGTTTCAGCGGCCAAAAGACATTGTTCGGAAATTGTTATCTGGAGATTTAGATCTTGGTATCGTGGGGTTCGATACTGTTAGTGAATATGGGCAGGTAAGTATTAAAGTATAGGATACTATTTAACTGAGGGCGATTATGAATGAAATATTACTAAGAATGAAATATTTAATGCTATGCAGTGATTATGTATTATGTAGAATTCCACCCTTGCAGATTATTTTTGCCATGTCATCTTAGAACTAGTGTTTATATGTTATTAATTGAGTTATTGAGACTTGGCTTTGGTTGTCGTGTGGTTTATTGTATTTCTGGCACTGCACTTATCCTTTTCTACCAATGAACAAAAAATGGATTGCTTTGGAAGAATGAATGCAGACATAAAATTTTATTGTTTCAATGCCTTTATCAGGGTAATGAAGATCTTATCATTGTTCATGATGCCCTTGAGTATGGAGATTGCCGTTTATCCCTTGCAGTAAGTGTTCTTTGTTAGGAGTATATAGCCAGCTGCATCTTCCTGATATACCTGCTAGTGATGATTTTATTTTGTTTCTTCAGATTCCGAAGTACGGGATCTTTGAGAATATCAATTCACTGAAGGAGCTAGCCCAGATGCCCCAGTGGACTGTTGAGAAACCTCTAAGGGTTGCAACTGGCTTTTCTTATGTATATGTCCTTAACTGATTTTTGTAAATTATATTGCTTTTCAGAATTTATTTCTGGTACAATCTGTTTTGGTTAACTTATCGGCAGATTGTTTCTATTTGAATTTAATTTCCTTTCTGTCTTTCTGCACAGCTTGTTCCTAAATTTATGAAAGAAAATGGATTGAAGCACGTGATATTTTCAACTGCTGATGGAGCCTTAGAGGCTGCTCCTGCGGTGAGAATTAAATTATCCAAGCACCTGTAATTTAGTTTTTTCTTTGAAGTTATTTTGAAATTGAAAGAGAGGGCTGCTTTTCCTCCCAGAGCTCTACGTATTAGTTTTATTATACCTTACTGAGCACTTCTTATTATGCATATGTTATTTGCTTTCCTAAAGGATTACTGAATTTGCATGAAACTTCAGACCTTAGTTTAGTGTGTTTAAATGTGCCTTGCTATGTTTTACCTGCCTGTATTTTCCTTTCTGTATTTCATCCCGTTGATATTTGACTAAACAAAATGTTGTTACCATTATCGAAGGAAGTGATATTTAAAAGGAAGCAGTAGTACTTGTAGTAGATTGATGAAGCAATTTGGAATAGTAATGCTTCTGTTTGTCTTCCTGATGTTTATGGAAATCACTTCTTTTTCTTGTTAATATAGATGGGAATAGCTGATGCAATTTTGGACCTTGTGAGTAGCGGGACAACATTGAGGGAAAACAACTTGAAAGAAATTGAAGGTGGAGTTGTATTGGAAAGCCAGGTGACCAGATCTATGTCTTTTCCTGTTCATTCAACTTTCAAGCATGTGATTTTGTAGTCTGGAGTATGCTATTTGAAAAGGATTTGTTGTTAGAATATCTTGCCTGATCTCAAGAGTCCATTTTCCTTCAGGCTGTTCTAGTTGCAAGCCGAAAAGCATTAATCCAGCGGAAAGGTGCACTGGACACAACACACGAGATTCTTGAACGATTTGAGGCTCATTTGAGGGCACTTGGTCAGTTCACGGTGTGGATATTCATGATCCCAACCTTTTCTTTTCCTTTTCCTTCTTGCATTCTGCCTGTTTATATGTGTTTCTTATTGCAGGTAACTGCAAATATGAGGGGCAGAAGCGCAGAGGAAGTGGCTGAGCGAGTACTGAGCCAGCCATCATTATCTGGGTTGCAGGTAAGGTTTGAAATGATTTTGCTCTCAAGAATCTCTCTTTTGGGATGAAGTCATTACAAGTTTTAATTTGGAATTAATTAAAAATTTTCTTAATGCTATTGCTAATCTAAGAAAGATTTAAAAATGATTCATGTTTTGTATTTGCAGGGGCCCACAGTAAGTCCAGTTTTTCGGAAACATGATGGAAAAGTAGCTGCTGACTACTATGCCATAGTCATATGTGTACCCAAGAAAGCTCTATACAAGTCTGTACAACAATTGAGAGCGGTGAGTCATGATGAATTACAATAAAGGCTGCTTATATGTAACGAAAGCTGTGGCTTCTGTGCTTGCTCTATTTGCAGCACATGTTCATCCCTAATACAATTTGTTTATGGATTTAAATATAAGTTGATCCATATTCTAATGAGCATAACCACTCCATCTTGTGTTCTTCCTTCTGAAAAATTTCCTGCCTGCTAAAAGATGAACTGTACTTCTTTAGAGGAATCATGCACGTAATTTTTGTCTTTAAATAAAGAAAAAGAACTTATTACATTTATTGAGAAGTGATGGGTTACATGGAACATCTTGTTATATTTTTAGGCAGTATAAGCTTCACCCGCACGTATACTACATCTTGTTATATTTTTAGGCAGTATAAGCTTCACCCATGCACATATACTTAATTACACGGAGTAATATATGAAGATTTTTACTTACCTAAATAAAGAAATACGAATTTGTTGGGTTTTTGATAGTTGTAAAGATTACTTGCTATAATTTTAGGCAATGCAGCCCATTTCAAGACCAATAGTTATTTATTAAGGTTTCAGCTACACTTGGTTGTATCAGAACTTATAACAGTCTCCCCAACCCCAAAAAAAGGAGGGGGTTTAAAAAAACAAGGAGTTAAGTGTTGCTTTTCCTTTCTTCACAAAAAAATAAAAAAATTGTTGCTCATCCTATTCAGTGAATGTCGTCTGGTGCAGATTGGAGGTAGTGGGGTGCTAATTTCACCATTGACCTACATTTTTGATGAAGAGACCCCAAGGTGGAGAGAACTTCTTTCAAAGCTTGGCCTCTAGTCCTTTCCAATAGATGCATGGTTGTTTTGTTGCATTCCATATCAATGCTGAAGAATTTTTGAGCTCTTAAGGTTCCCAGGTGGATCGAAAAACTACTTTGGTCCAGAGTTAAGACCTCCAAAGTTTTGTATTGTGGTTTTGTTTCTAAGTAGTGGTATTCTCCAGTCCCTTGTTTCTTTTACCTTTATTTCTCTTTCCAGTAATGTTTTTTTTTTCCTCTTCTTTATTGTAACCATAATGATGATATAGAAAACATGTTTTCCTTTTTGATTGTGTACGATTACTGAAAAATAATTGTAACTTTACTAGTTTGTGATTCTTCTTGTTGAAATTCAGATGAAATCTATCTGCTTGGTAATTTTATTACCAAATTAAGTACCGTTTAGAAAGCTTGGTTGCTCCTTTTCTCATTGGTTTGTGACCTCGAGTCCAACTCGCAGAAGTCAATGAATTTGGGTTCGCTAACGTGCGAATGTGGCTTCAGGCTAATAAATTCAGACTTATGAGGCCCTTCAGTCTGGTCGTAGGTTATACAGCTTGATCAGTGTTGTGGGAGGACAATGTTGGCTCCTCTTCAACGTAGCTTGCTACACCCATGGTTCTGTCAGGATCGTGGTTCTGAACTAGAGCCAAAAGGACCCAAGATCGCTGGGTTACTCTCTTGATCACTTCAATTCTATAGTGCCCCTTAATATCCTGCGTCCTATAAAGTACCACTTTATCGCCAACTGCAAGATTCCACCAACGACCAAAACTGAGAACTGTCTTTGGATATTCTCCCCACTTGTTGAACAAACAGATATCCATATTCCATACTTTGCCATTCTCGTCGACGATGGCCTCTGAAATTCGGGAAACATTTTTTCTTCTCGGTTGGAACAGACAATCTCTGCAAAGTCAAAACTATAGCAGTAACATTGGTTGGATTCTTGGAGAAAAAGTAATAGTAAATTGTAATCCACTTTGTTTTTGGTAACTCCACGAAAATGTAAGGTTGATGGTCCATTAAATTGTAGCATTTAACATGAGTTTCTCATCTCTTACTTGGTCACAAATAAATTTCTAATTTATCTTCCATTATCTAGAACGTTGTCAGGTGCAAATAAAGCAATAAATGATTAAATCTGTTTAATAAGAGAACCTGTTGTTGTCTTCATCTTGTGCAACTTGAATAATTGGCTACTGTGAGAAAGTTTCATCCTTTCTTCGTGTTCTCCTTCTTCCAGATTGTAAGACATAATTCTCTATGCCCTGACTAGCTAAAGATCATAAATTGGAGAACCAATGCTCTTAGCTCTGTTTCTAGTATTTTCTGCTGTAAAATTTTAGTGCCATTGATTTCAGTTAGTACTGAATTAATCCAACTCAAAGTACAAACCTTAAAATATTCTGATGGCCATCTTCCAATAATCCATTTTGATTAGCAACTTGAAAGAATTGTTGCTAGTAATTCGGGGAGATGCCCGATTTAAGAACATATGCAACGGTTCTGTTTCTGCTCTGTTTTTATTCTGTTTTAGAGGTCCCTGAATAATGAATATGAGCTCTTGGAGATTAGGAGGAAACAGTTTTATAACTGTTGATTGTTGAATATGAGACGGAAAAAGATTAACCAATCAAACAAGAACTTAATATATTACTAACCAGTATATTTACAAAGCATTTTTTTAACCAGAATAACAAGAAATCCTACAAACAGTTGAAAAGTTGAAGCCATACTCATCGGAAGGCTTCTTTGTTATATTACAAAACAGATACTCTCCCATGCGTAAAGGCCTCAGCAATGAATTGGTTTATGAGCAAAAACGGTGCCAAATATTTTAACTGCTTTTTCCACTTCGACACGATACCTAACAGCGCCAGCTTGTTCTTCCTCCATGTAAAACGCAACTCTATCACCAACACTAAGCTCTTTGCTGCAAACAAACTCTCGCCATCCCTTGGTAAGCACTGGCTTCAGGTACTTCTTGTTCTTCTTACGAGTGTAAATTCGGAACTTCCAGACACAGCCGATCTCATCTCTGACTTGAAAATCCACCATATGATTGCCGATACTTAAAGGAGGGAAACAATTGAGGGACTTGCTTGGGATCGTCAATCGTTTCTCAATATCCGTCTTCTTAAGATTCTTTAAGACGATTGCCATTGATGAAGTAAAAGGAGTCGCTCAAGGTTTCTTTCTTAGCTATGTACTTCAAGAAGGAGAAGAAAATGTTCCTATCAGGTTTTATAAGTAGTGCCGAATCTGGCGAGAGATATATATAGGAACTGTCCCAATACTTAAGAGATAATGCAGTAACATTCGATTCTCACCTGTGTTGAGCACAAGGCTAAGTTTCCAGGATTTTTCTTACTCTTTGTCCAAACTGGGTACGTACTAACCACGCAAAGATATCTGCTGGGTACGATCGATTTTCCTGATCTAACGCACGATTTATGTTTTTCTTCTCCAGGATCGAAAGTCCAATTGTGAAGTAGTAGAAAAATGCTGAAAAAGATATGCGAGCGGGCAGTAGCTAGCGCGATTTTGTTCGAGTTTCTGATTGCGACTCGCGTTTCCTTTTTCTTTCTCTTTTTGTTTCCAAAAGTCAACAATGACTTCGATTGAACCAAAGGGTATGTACATATTTTAATGCGCATAGTTTTATGAATGTCCAATACGTCATAATTAGTTGCATCAGCAGCAGTGATCTAGAAAGGACTTGAGATAAATCATCCAGTGGAATGGACAACACAAACCAAGTTGTGCAAATTTAACAGACGGCATCTTGGAACATCATTTGACCGCATCCAAGATCACGAAAACGACAGATGCTTGCGAACCTTTGGACCAATCCATGTTGTGTCTAGCGAGACTTGGAGGTGTTGTTCAGTTTTAGTAAGGTAAACGCGCGATGTTTGCGATAAACAACATACGTTGTTTCGCGCCTCTTTTCCATGAGAATGGGCCATGGGGTATGCCTTGGCTCCTTTAATAGAGCTTCTGGAAGAGGCCTCTCCTCTTACATGACATAATAGCTGCGGCTACTGCACTTTGCATTTTAACTAATGACCTAGAGATTATGAAGAATATTGTGATCGTTATAGTTCCTTTATGGAAGGATGCGCATCCTGAATCTGATCCTCAATAGGCGCATCTTTCAATGAACAAACTATAACGATCACAATATTCTTCATAATCTCTGGGTCATTAGTTAAAATACAAAGGGCATTAGCCGCTGCCCTTTGTATTAAGCATTGGAAGTCAATAATTGAGTTTCATGGTGTTCCAGCCTTGGTGAGATTGATGAAAGCCAATAATACGATACAGCGACATACATGGGCTCTGCTGATCTGCTATTTTTTTGATGCTTGCCAACGGTTACGAGGCCATTATTCAATCCTAAGTAAAAACTTTTGTAGTCATGTATTTTCTGATACTCATGAACTCTGTTTTCCTTTGTACATTGATGAGTGATAAGCACAGTGACTAGCAACTCACTTGTATTTACAACACAAACCAATGTCAAATACACTTACAACTCATATTTGTTCATCTATTTGTGTGCTGTGGCTGCCTAGAACAAGCATATTTGATCCCTTTATTTTTTTTTCCCTTTTCACATCACGGAATTTGAAACATGATTAAGCCCCACAATATGTGTCTCGAGTCTTGACAGTTTGTCCACTCTGAGAGGGCAGCGGATAATGTTAAAGATTTGTGTGAATTAAAGCATTTGCGGCTGTTTTTTTTATCATAAACCAATAAATTCCCCTGCTTAGGCCAATCACTGTTTAGTAAAGGAGCTTCCTACTAACTTTGGTTAAAAAATTACATTGCAAATACACGGTTTTGGTTGGGATATGGAGAAATCTAGAAATCTCACATGAGGCATTTCCTCAAGGTACTTGCGTTAATATGGCTAATTTTGCGATTTAGAAGAAAGACATGAAAGACAAAATCAAATAGACACTTCAAATTTGTTGTCTGCTGATGTATAAAAAAATATATATTTGATACATCATTAATAAAATTTATTTATTAATAAATTATTATTATTTAATTTACTATTAATATATAATTAATAAATTTTATCATCTAATTTATTGATAATATATCAAATATAAATCATATACACAAACCTCTTTTGATGTTCACGTATAATTAATAAATCATATACATTGTTAATAAAAAAACGCGAAATGATATTGCGATGCGATAAGGAGCCGCCAGAGATCGCGCGGTTTCTCTAGTCTCTCTCTTCTTTTGTGGTCCATGACGTTTGATGTCAAAAGTCAATACTTTAATGACACACTTTGATGAGCGATTGCAGGACCAAAAAGTATTTCTCAATGTTTAAGATGTTTTTATTGACTAAAAAATGGCGATCTCCATCGATAGTGATTGACTAAAAATATAATCGGCTGGGAGATCCACTAAAACACGTAGGTTTTCAATTTGTTTGCCTTTGTTTTTAAAAGAAGTCTCTTTCTTTCAACTTTTTCCTATTAGATTTTATTAATATACTAATTACCTATCAGCTGTCACCTTGTAATCGTAGCGATCCCTTTGTTGCGAACTAAGGTCGCGCGAAAATCTGGCGATCTGCAATATGAAGAAACCCAAGACAACACAGTGACAAAATCATTTTGAGTCAAGTTGTCTTTTTCAATGTGTCAAAAAAAGAGTCCATACGAACGTTATCGAGCGATTTTGTCGCCAACTAGCAATAGCACGGTTTATGATCTTTTCCAGCAGCATCTAGGCGCGCGCATTTGAAAGAAACGATCACATACGGCGGTTAGCCCTCCTTTCTTAACAAAGATCACAAAAAAGCTGACCGCAATGTGAACGAGTGCTAGGCAATTGAACTGAACCGTGTCGGAGACGATGTTGGGTTCGGAGGGAAAAATGCAGATTCAGGAAATCCTGGATTTGATATTGTTAGGGGATGAAATTTGCCTAGAGGTTGAGGAGGCCATGTCGTTCAAGGTGGAATGTGGTGAGGTAGGGAAGCGAGTGAATCGGCTTGCACGAATGCTAAAGACCCTGTTTTGCTTCATCACTTCCGCTCTTACTGCCGTTTACTTATGCCCAGTTAAATGCATAGTTGCCAAGGTCAAGGATAACTTTAAGCATGCCATGGCCATCGTCAAAATGTGCAAGCACCAAAGCATACTTCGCAGACTAGTCTTCACCTGCAGCAATGCTATTGCTACCCCTTTTCGCAATCTCTTGCACGATTTAGATGCTTCTATCAGCGATATGGAGTGCCTGGTTACCTTCTATGACCCCCAAAGCGAAGCCATAGACCCAAT